GTAGTGGTGGGGTCTTGTGTTCCCCCCCCCCCCCCCCATGTTCATAATTTTTTTGCTTAACTCACAAGTCCTTATTTTGTGCTCTTATTATTGGGGGCTAATTTAATGTTATCTTATGCCACAGCTTATATAAAAGCAGCAGTCACTTTTTTTTGCAATCTACCCATTACTTTCTATCTTTTGCTATCTACCCCCCAAAAGTGGGCTTTTTTTCAGAGGTGATATTTTGAGTTTTTTTTATTTTAGATGTATATTGAAGGTATTTTTTATTTTATCTTAATACAGCCTTTATTAAAGTTTGGGTCCAGAAACTTCAGCTTTCACTTGTTGCTGACATCCGTTCTTGAAGCTGCCTCAAAAACAGTGTGCATCAAAACCATCTCACATTTACCTCACTTCTGTATCTTTTTAGTAATAATAAAGTTCAGTTTAGACTGGATAGTATTAATAGGGAAGAGAAGGCGGGAGATGAAGATACAAAATCAGATCTCCCCACCCTTGCTAACGGGATTTATTGGTGCCGCACCCCTTAATAATAAGACATTAAAGATACCATTGATGCACTATGCGCTCAATTTTTATGACCACAACAGTAGCTTGAATTTTATTAATAAAGTTGTATTTGCTATATATTTTGTGATTGTATTTTTATAGTATGGCACCTTGAAAACCCCATTAGATTTTTTTTTTTTTTTTTTTTAAACAATTTGTATTGATTTTATACAAATAATACAAAGATATCTTGAAATACAAGTCTGTAGCCTTTTCTCGTGAGAGTTCTGAGCACGAGAGTCAATACAACAATTGTAATAGGAACAAAAAAAATAGTGACAGAATAGACATCAAGGATACAACAGAGCAGTACAAAATAAGCCGAACCTCAAAATTATGCAATTCCCTAGGAACGGAAGCTTGAGTACGAAGGCCTGATCAAAAATATTTCTATCAGAAAAAGAAGCACAATTGAGAAGGAGTGCTATCAGTACTAAGCATCATAAGGAGGAGCAGGTTCTCCCTTGTAAGACTGGGGAATAGGCATCTGTGGGGTGGGGCTACAAGAAGGGTTGGACAACCATAGTTTGGTTAGTTGAGCCTTGAGATACCAAACCGTATATCGAAAAAGTTCCATATGGGCAGCCAATTCAGCAGATGTAAAGGAGTGCTCCATGAAGCGCTGCCATCTGGAGATATAAAAAGACGTGTGGACTTAAAATTCTGAGTAATGGTGTCCAGCTTTTCCAGGTTAAATAAGGCAGTTAATGCATGTATCACCATTTTATGTTGTGGAGGAGTTGGCTGTATCCAAGCTTGCATGAGGGCTCTGCAAGCCACTAGTAGACATATATGTATCCACTGAAAAAGAGCATTAGGATTTGGCAACATCGTGTGATCTTGATAGTTAAAGAGACAGAGAATAGGATCTTTGGTGAGAGAGATGTTGTATAAGTGATTGATGTAACGATGAACTCGATCCCAAAAAGTAGAAACTTGAGCACACTCCCAAAGGTGATGAAACAGGGTAGGTCGAGTGTAGTCTCAGCAAGGACATGTAGGGCGGAGGTGATCACTGGATTTGCTGAAAAAGGAAAGTAAGCTCTGTGCATGATTTTGAATTGAGTTTCCTGCCATATTTCACAGAGAACAAGTGAAGAGATTTTCCTGTATCCCGACAGAATTTTATCCGGAGTGTCATCACTGGACAGTATGGGGGTCCACGGTTTAAAAGGAGTAAGATGGTACTTTGCCAACTGGTGAGAGATTAGATGAGAGTAGATAGCTGAAATGGAGTAGTGATCTTGACGCAATAGAGTGTCTATACAGGAATGCTGGAAGGGATGCTGTTTTGATGAGGAAAAGTCACCAGCTGATGGTAGTAAAAGATATGAAATCCCAGAAAGGAATATTTGGATGCTAGTATTGAAAAGGGCTGAAAGGAATGTCTGGTATCATCAAAGATGGATATGACTTTAGTAAGCCCGCTATGAAACCAGTGGGTAAATGCTGCATGTTCACTCGCTGGAGGGTTTCCAAGAATAGGAAGGTGGGAGGATATCTGTAGTGGTAGGCCAAGGAATCTCCCTCCAGGCCAATACTGTGTCTCTGATTAGGAGATTCAAACAGAGAGATCCAGGTAGGGCCTTAAGGTTAGAACATGAATGGCTAGAAGGTGTAGCGGAGACACTAGGGCTTCTTCCAAGGAGTAGTTTGAGTAACGTGATTTCCCGGAAATCCTATTGAGACTCTGACGAAGAAGGCAGGAAAGGCTGTAAAATCTAATATTCGGCAGGCCTGCACCCCCCTCACTCTTCGGGAGACTTGGCTTTTGCAATGCGATGCACGGCTTTTTGTGCTGCCATAAAAAAGCCTGTAAAGCCTTATTAATCTTTTGAACATCGGAATGTTTCAACATAATAGGAAGTATTTGTAGAGTACAGTTCCTGTACAATCTTGTTGATTAGAGGAGGGTAGTTCAGGTAGTAAAGAGATGATGGTTCTCTGCCTATGTGAATGCCCAAATACGTAATGGAGAGCTTAGCTATACTAAAGGGAGAGGAAGGAACCTAACATGTCGAGGTAGTTGAGTTCAGAGGAAGAACTTTGCTCTTGTTAAAACTGATTCTTAGGCCAGACCATTTATGGAAGGTCACAAACAAGTCCTGAAGTAGTAAGAAATCTTTGGGTGGATCTGAAGAGAACAGCAATATATCGTCCGCAAACAAAAGCTGAGCGGAGAGTATGTTTTTTGAAAGTATTTTGGCATAAACATTAATTAAAGAGATCCTGGGAATAATGGGTCTTTCCTCTTCTTAGCTATGAGTTTGATATGTGCCTGGGAGTCAGTTGGGAGGCCATCCTCCCACATTGCCTGATAAACGTGATACAGAGGGGTTTATTTACTAAAGCTGGAGAGTCCAAAATCAGACTCCCTTCTGCATAGAAACCAATCAGCTTCTAACCTCAGCTTGTTCAATGAAGCTTTGGCAATGAAACCTGGAAGCTGATTGGTTTCCATGCAGAAGGGAGTCTGATTTTGGACTCTCCAGCTTTAGTAAATAAACCCCAGAGTGTCTGGGATGAATTCTGAAGTCAACTTATAGAATTCTGCGCTGAGACCATCAGGTCCAGGAGCTTTAGCTGAGGGTAGATGTTTGATAGTAGCATGAATGTCATCAGGTGTAATGGGAGCATTTTAAGCACCTAGCTGGGATCCGGAGAGCCTAGGCAGATTTATAGAGGCTAGAAAGTCTTCGTCAGCTTTAGAGTCCATTGGGTCCTCTGAATACAAGAAGGTGTAGTAGGACGTGAGAAGGTTAATATCCAAGGACAGTATTAGGATATTACCCATGGGAGACAGAGATATGAGTAGGAGTACGAGGGCCCGAACTGAACCAAGCTAACAGCTTTCCCGCCTTATTGTAACATCTGTAAAATTTCAAGGTGGAAAAGGCCAATTTGGCTGCTTCCTGGTGTTCAGCCCCCAATAATCAAAGGTCCGCTTGGCAGATTTCCAATTTAGAGGGAGAGCGCAATATGTGCCTGATGAAGAGATTCGCTAGCTTGTTGATAAAGTAGTTGGAATCATCTTTTAAATTGCGTGGCATGAGTAATTATGTGCCCTCTGAGGAACGCCTTTCCAGTTTCCCAAAACAAGTTAGTGTTGGTGATGTGTGCTCCATTTGTGTCAGCGAATTCCTGCCATGCCACATAAAGATGAGACTTGAAGTCTTCATTATTGGCTAAGTATGTGGGGAAACGCTATAGGCTAGGGGGCTTTGGAGTTTTCAACCCAGATAACTGCAGTAGAATGGGACAATGGTCAGAGATGGCCATATCTAAAATGGTCGTTTTGTGCAGCAGAGGCAAAAAAGACTGTGAGCAGAAAAAATAGTCGATGCGAGAAAAGGAGTCATGTGGGGATGAATAGAACGTATAGTCTCAATCTGTCGGGTATTGGAGGCAGGGCCATGGATAAGGGGGTACCACCAGTCCTCCTGTACGTTGCCCAGGCCTGCAGGGGGGCCCAGGCAGCTGGGTGAATCAGATGTGGGCAGGAAGGGTTAACGGGGCAATTACTGGAACCAAACACAAAAACACAATATAATACCCAATTGTTAGGAAAATATAAAAGATTAAGTTAACTAACATGTCGTGCTTTAAAATTGCTTAAATCTACGGAATGGTGACAAAACTACGGTACCTCCATAGGCAACTCTTTTAAAGACTTTACAGGTTAGCAGTTTAGAGTTCCACATGTGGACTGGTGCTGGAATTATCGCTGTAATGTTTGTGGTGATACCTCACATGTGTGGTGCGAACACCATTTACATATGAGTGGGGGACCTATGTATGTGTTCACCTTTGCACATGAGTACGGGGGGGTGAGGTCGCTTTACATTTAAATTTTTTTATTTATTTTATTTAAAATTTTTTACAATGTTTCTCTATTTACTTTTATTGCTATTACATGGGATGAATAACATCTCTTGTGATAGCTGGGACAGTGTCAGGCCTTCTTTACCGAGACATCTGGGGACTATTAACCTCCCTAGCGGTCTGATTATGTCAATATTTCTGTGCTCAAAGCGGTACATTTTTTTGCATGGAAATATGTTGTTTTTATATTGTAGGCCTGTAATTCTCACTGAAATCTGTCCAAACAAGAGTCTAGTAAACATGCCGGGTATGATAAAATTTTTGAAACAAGAAAATCATAAATTATAATATATTAATCATAAAAAATAATAATATAATAATAATTTAATTCAATAATGTTACCCAAACCAAAAACACTGAAATTTGAAATAGAGCTCCAAGTTCGCACATCACTGAGCTCAGTCGCAGAATCGTTTTCAGTGTCTGATGACGAATTTCCCCACAAATCATTATCACAATTCTGCAAGTGGTTCTAATTTACTATCGCTGTTCTCTAGCTGGTCTAAAACCGCTTTTGACCTAAAGGGACACTTTTTGGACGCCATGGACGTTTCTCAGTTTCAAGGCAAAAAGAACAGTAAAAATGCAGGCAGGGCACAGGACAAAGCACTAGGGACAAAATGTATGTGAAATGGTTTGATACAGTAAGGTTATACTATGTGATTTTAGAGTATATAGTGAATGTCACTTTTTACCGCAGGTTCCGTCCCCCACGTCCCGTACGTCACAATGCTCGCAGGGAACAGAACCCAGAAGACAGATGCCAACATCGGCCAGAGGAGATGGCCGGGGACGCTGCAGGGGGGACATCGTGGGAGTGCAGGACAAGGTAAGTGCAAGAGGGATCCCGGAGCAACACTGCAGGGTAATCCCGAGTGTAGCTCAGGGTTATCGCATTTGGTACTGAAAGTTAACCCCGAGCTACACTCGGGAATACAGCCAGGGGGGTTAAACTCCAGATATCTCCTCTGCCCTTAAAAGCATCTGATCAAACCAAGATCTGATTGATCAGATGCTACTACAAGCCAGTATCAACAATAAACTGAAACTGGAACTGACAAAATCCTAACTGCTTCTGGTTTCATAGACAATAGAGATGATTGGGGAACTTCTGTTCCTCCTGCATCTCAATGGTCAGCTGGTGTAACTGCCAGCTTCAGTCGCTCTACAATAGAATGTTGAGCCTAGGAAGGTGGTAGAAATGGTAGAAGGAGGTGGGGGGGGGGTCCTTCTGTCCCATGTAAAAGCAATCCAGCGGTTCTACAGTCACTCTGATTGATTTTACATTATTGATACTGTGGTCATACAGCTGCAGCCATGGCCCCAGTATAAACACTCAAACAAAGTCTTGAGAAAAATGCTTGAAAAGACTAATTTTTGTACATGGTTTGAGTAGAAAGACCCTTTTTTGGTTAGGATTAGGATGGTGTTGATGCAAGTGGAAAACCACTTTAAGAATTTTTTTTTTTTTTTTTTTTTTTAGTAAGCATTGTAAATGTAAGACTTTGCCAAATCCTAATGCAGCATATTTTTTAAACAATTTCTCTCTCCATACTGAGTGCAACCAGAACAAAAGCTAGGTAAACTGACTTCTGTTTGCCGTCAATTCTCATAATCAGGCAACACCTGACCCACAAATGTAACCAGTGACTCACAACACCCTTAGGGGTCAGTCTGTCACAGAAAATATTGTTCCTTTCACTATTAAAGGTCATTTTGTTGGCAGTAAATATACTAAATTAGTAAGTGAACCTTAGGAGCAGCAACATTTCTGAAAAAAGGAAAATCAAACTGTAAGAAACATAGACATTCCACCTTGGAATTTGTCTTTTTTTAATTGATTTTACCATTTTTTATTTTATTATTTATTATAACTGCACTATGTCATATACTGCACTACAGTTACTATGAATGATATATTTGCAAATGACCAGGCTGCTGGATCACATTGACCCCCAGTTCACATCTATGTGGCCATGCGGGCCACGTTTTGCACGGGCACGAGAGCCCATTCATTTGAATGGACTCCCGTGCCCCTGACACGCAGGGAAGAAGTCCCTGCGCTCCTTTGGAAAACAAATCCTGCACGGGAACCTTGGTTCCGAATATGGTTGCAGTTTCCAGTGCAGGCGGCGTGCCATTAGAATTAATGGCACCCACCCACGGGTCCGCATTTCTTTGTGCGGGTGGTGCGGCTGCACAGATTTTTGTGTGGATCCACAGCGGCACCACCCGTTCAGATGTGAACCTAGGGTCACAGAGCTATGTACCTTTGGTGGGCTGCAAGCATGCTGATCATTAAGTTGTTTAGTAAGCTTGAGCTTGAGGAGGAATGTGGATAGATACAGGGTGATGACTAAAGAAGCAGGAAGGATGACAAAGTCAAGACCAGCAATCAGGACAAGTACTGCGAGCACTGATGGGAAGGAGCAGAGAAAAGGACACTGAAGGGGGGCCACTGGAGAGGACACTGGACAGGAGAAGAAGGGACACTGTGGTTTTTTGGATGAGGAAAATACAGAGAAGGGCAACCAAACTGATAAGAGGCATGGAGGAGCTCAGCTATGAGGAAAGATTATAGGAACTGAATGTATTCTCTCTTGAGAAGAGGAGATTAAGGAGGGATATGATCAACATATGTAAATACATCAGTGGTTCATATAGTGAACTTGGTGTAGAGCTATTCACACTGAGGTCATCACAGAAGACAATCTGGAGGAAAACAAATTTTATCTCAAAACACGGAAAGGTTTCGTCACAGTGAGAGCTGTGAAAATGTGGAATAGATTCCCTCAAGAATTGGTTCTAGCCAGCTCAGTGGATTGCTTTAAAAAAGGCCTGGATTCTTTCTTAGATACACAGAATACTATCATTTATAGGTTAAGTTGATCCAGGGAATATCCGTTTGCCTCTTGGGGATCAGGAAGGAATTGTTTTCCCTGCAGGAGCAAATTGGATCATGCTTTACTGTTTTTTTTTGCCTTCCTCTGGATCAATTGTGGGTATAGGATTATAACTTTTTTTTTTAATAGTTGAACTGGATGGACTTTTTGTCTTTTTTCAGCCAGACTAACTATATAACTATGATCAGAAGCCATTTGCCTGCTTAATCACATTCACAAAGCCATTCAGAGAAGCAGCACTAGAACTGCCAAGTTTACACAATGGATGTGATCAGAAGATTGTTAGCTGCTTAGTACATTCATTCAATGAGATACAAAGTGTCAGGTACTATTTTAATGTAAGTTCATAGTTTCTGAAGTGACCCAGAACTTACAAGCTTAGAAAATGCACAAGCAGTTGTGTTCGACCATTGGTGTCAGTGGCAGTGAAAGGGTTAAAGAACTTTAATTTTTTCTCTCTCTCATGTTTTATAGTGAGCATGAAATGCTATAACATAATTTTGTGACATTTACATTACTGTTGTGTATGATGTACCAGTCAGTCCGCAGCAGGGGCGGACTGACCATTTGGAAACTCGGGCACTGCCCGAGGGCCCGGGGTCAGTAGGGGGCCCCATGAGATGCCCCTGGTACCTTTTTCATAGGCTTTTTTCAGTTTGGCCAAGGACACAGGGGCCCCATGATCCCCTATTGCCCGGGGGCCCCATGATTTGTCAGTCCGCCCCTGGTCCGCAGCCCAAACAACTATTTGTGAAATGTACTTAGAAGCCATACATTTTTTGTTCCACTCTCTGACCCCAATAATCCTGCGAGTGAAAGTGAATAACATCAGTGCCTCCAGCAACAATACTCACAAGCCATAAAAGTAAACTAAAGTAAATATGCTAATCAAATATGTGACACAAACAAATAATTATATGACGGCCGCAACAAACACTAACTTGTGTTCCCACAATGGTAGTATAAGATTGTGATATTAAGAGCTGCTATCAGGTTTTCCCCTGATTAAGTCACATGTGACATAACGCGTAGGATGGAGCCTTGTGCGATCAGATTTAAAAAGCAAAATGCATCAAAAACGCACTACATGCTTTTCTGCAGGGTTTCCATTGAAGTTTATGGAACCAAAATTGCAACTTTTTGTGCTCAAAAAAGTCCCTGTCCCTTTCCAAAAAACGCACCTGGTGAAAACGCAGAGATGTGAACATGTCCCATACCAAATCATGTTAAATGGACTGTACTGTGTTTCTGAAAAATTCTGCGAAAACAGGTGTGAACCTAGGGTAACACGCGCTGTTAGTTAAAACATTAAGGTGAGCATTTAGTGAAGGGGAAGACAGTCAAAATTGTTTATGATCGTAAGTGAAATATTTGAACTGAAGATATCATACCAATTTTGAATTACTGATGAACTTTCACCATTAAGCTTTATGTATGAGAATCACAGACTGTTTTTGCACACAATTTAATGTTTTTAATTTTATTTTATTACATTTCGTTTATTACATTCTTTGGTCATTTAAATATTGATGCTAATATATATGTCACCATTTCACTTTTATTAGAGATATAGCACTAGGATTGAGGCAGCACAGCACTTAATATCACAATCTAATCCTACTAAGCTGTTCTGCTAAATATCATTAGGATAATAAAAAGTATATTCCAATAAAGTGTATCGAGCCTGATAACTACCGTAATTACAAGCTCTGTTCTATTATGCCTGTGTATAATTGTTACAATAATAAAACTTTATTGCCAGTGATACAAAATAACTCATAAAACATCTAAAGTGTCACTCTTTTAAAACAATAAACAAAGTTAAATCCTAAAGTTGAAGGTCTCTAGTAGTTGAAAAGTGTTGAGTGGGAGGAGTTTATGTACGCCTTCCTGCTATGAGTGACCAAACATCTATCAGGGCTGATGGCGGGAGAGGGAGAAGTCTTGCTGAGCAAATGTAACGGTCTTTGTTCGTCACCTACAGTATATGTGAATTTTGTTTTAGTTTTAATATATACTTAATAGTTTTACTCTATGGGAGCCTTCTTGCTTTTTTTTAAAATGATAACCATCTGGGCATATTAACTCCAAGGAGAATACAGAGATGCAGGAGGGCATAGAGAGGGGAAAGAGGTGGATCTGCACTTAAAGTGTATTTTCACTTTTGCAGCCAACTTGGGATAACACCTATTTTATATTTGTCCACATTCACGCAGCATACCTTAAAGGATAAGTTCACCTTTTGGACAAAAATAATAAATGCACATTTTTTTTTTGCAAATAAAAAAAAAAAAAATTATTTTTGTCCAAAGGAGCCTGGAAAGAAGTGGTGTAGAAGAGTGGTGTGGAAAATCAGGCACTCTCCAGCATCCTCTTTTTAGGATTTTCCTTTGCTCTTGTGGTGTGGGGCTCACACACTATATTGGACTCTATATTGTATACGTTTTTGACACTTTTATTATGGTAAGCGAGCGCCTTCTACCTTATTATTTTATATGATTCTTCTCCTGATAAACATCTAAAAGGTAAGAAATATAAAAAAATGTAGGCATGCTGTGTGAAAGGGAACACATAAAAAACATAATGAGATTTTCTGAAATTTGACTGCAAAAGTGGAATACACGTTAAAGTGTCATTAAACAATAGATGTATTCTCCAAAATTAATCCACACACATCCACTACTTAATGGCCTTGTAATATATTTTTAATGAAATTGTTTCCTACTGTTTTTTTTCCATCTCGTTGTAAAGTATTCCTTAAGCTCCCAAACCTCTTCCCCTCACTTCCATGTGTTTGGTGCACAGTTCTCTTTATTGGAAAATAAAATTTAAAGGCTAAGTTCACCTTTTGAAAAAAAAAAAGAAATAAATGCACAGCTTTTTACAGGTAAAAAATGTACATTTATTTTTTTTCTTCCAAGGAGCCTGCTGAGCATTGTACCCACGATCAGCAGAGTGTGGGTGCACTCTCGGGCTACTGCAGACTCTGAGGATAGCTGTCTGCCC